TGGCACACAAGATGATTTCCTTGTGTGAGGCATACCTTGTGGTATATTGCATAAGATGATTTCCTTATGATTGATATAAGATGGCTTCCTTATACTTTGTATGTTTCAAGATGGTTTCCTTATGTAATGCATACTTTATGTACTCTCTGGCTAGTTGAATTTTAATTGATCGTAATGCATACTCTAAGTTTTACTGCTTTTACACTTGAAGTGAACTTAAGGGTAGAGGAATCCTTTAACGACCCATAATCTACTGAGATTATTATCTCACCCGAGTGGGGACCATATTTCAGGTACAAACACTTATGGTGTTGGAGCATTATGAGGCAAGAGGTCATTGTTGTGATTTAGTTCATAGAATGAGACTGTGATGATCATTTTGTTGTAGATTTTCTCACATAGTGATAATGTATTTGTAGAGCATAGTGCGTACTTATGCATATTTTGTTTAGACTTGTATATTCTGTTTAGAGGAACATGTATAGGGTCTTATTACTACCATATGTTATTTTGAGATACATGTATATGGACTGTATGTAAACCTTAATTTATTCGTAATATATGTCAAGGATGAATTTATGAGGTTATTCACTATTTATTTTCTCATGTTACTTTTGGAATTGATGTATGATTATACAATGATTAGAAAGTAAAGGCTCGGAGCCTATTATGTATCATCCATGGATGGATTCTAGTTGGACTAGTTAATAGTTGGATCAGTGTATGGACTTTGGTAACTGTCAATTAGGTACATTATTTAAAGTGAGAATAATCCCCAGAGTCTCTAATTAAAAAGGAGATGACGTCTATTTTAATATAAAAGATGTGAGGTGTAAGAAAGCATCACATAGTTTTAATTGGATACAGAATAATTGGTGAATTGCAATACATTAGAAAAGGAAAAAGTGTATTCACGCTTTGGCATAGGCTTATTTATGATTCAACAAGTTTAGCTTCCGCATTTATTTAAGTAAATATGTTGCGCTTAATATCATCTGCATAATAATACACCAGCAGTCGACTGGTGTTACATTCTCATTGCTTGGCAGGAAAGTAAAACAGAGTTATATTCAAGAGTTTCCCTCCTTCCAGAATGCCAAGTACACTTGACTTGGTATATTCTGATGTTTGTGGTCCTATGAAAACAAAAACGCGTGGTGGTGCTTTTTATTTTGTTACCTTTATAAAAGATCATTTGAGTAAGACATGAATTTACACATTGAAGACAAAAGATCAAGTGTTAGATTTGTTTAAGCATTTTCAGGCCTTCGTTGAGAGACAAATTGTGAAGAAGTTGAATTGCATCAGAATAGATAATGGTGGAGAGTATATAGGTGCTTTTGATCAATATTGCAGACAATGAGGCATCCGACATCAAAAGACCAATTTTGGTCATTGTGTTCTTCCAAAAATTCTCTAATAATGATTTTATCATTTTGTTGCTCTATTTTGATGACATGTTGGCTGTTGGCAAAAATTCTTCTAGAATTGGTACATTGAAGAAGCAAGTCTAACAAGTTTACCAATGTTGAGTGTCACTATTGTGGTTTAAAGGACATATAAAGAAGTATTGTCCAAAAATTAACAAAGATAAGAAACAAGGGAAATTGAAAGATAACAAGAATGACGAATGTTGTATCCATTCACGCTACATCTCACAGGGATTTCTTTGCATCTTAGGTGATTTTGGATTTGTTAAGTTGATTAATGATGGCTTGGCCAATGTGATTGGTGTTGGAGATGTGTGCTTGGAGACTAGCACTTGTTCGGCAGTGGCCAGGGGGAGCCCAATTAGGGGAGACTATCATCCACACATCAAATGGGCCTAAGTGACAAATTCACAACAAGGGGTTCAACATCACATCTCAACCCAAAACTTTAAGGCATTGAGTTTATGGGTCATTTCACTTATATGTGTTATGCTTAGCCTATTCCTTTCTAATATGGGACTTTTTATCACTCACACTTGAATTCTCAACATTAGCTACTCAAAAAGAGTAATTATATATAGTAATTAATAGTTATGACGAACAAAACAAATCACATTATTATTATGGGCGCATGTGAACGAGTTTAACATATATGGATCTGACACTAGATAGTGTTGTTATTGTTGTTAAACTTAAATTGTCTGGAAGAGACCCTAACCTTTCACACTACACAATATGTTCTAAAATAATTGCTTCAAGTACGAGTGCAAAATCGAGATGAGATAGTCATTACTCTATATATGTAAAGATTTCAACTTCCACATGAAACTCGATAGAGAAACCTTGGTCAAATACTATTTTTGTGAAATTTCGGGTTTAAAATATAAATTTGTATATATTTGTCCAACTCAACCAATTTAATCAATCACTCAGTAAATTAGTACCCCGATTGAGTTGATAACCGGCTAGATTTAATAATATTGAAGCAGATATTGAGGTGGAGTTAAATATAGTTGGTAATTTTAGATTTTGACTTTTTTATGGGTTTTTTTTTTATCATTTTTGATAAAACTATTTTGAGTAAATTATTAATTTGCTTCTCAAAAATTTATGGTGTCGCCACATTATCCTTTCAAGTAGTTTCTTATTAAATTAGGCCCTCAAAAATTAAAATATCACCTTATATATTAGTTCCTTAAAAAAAATTGCTGAATTAATTCTTCACAAATATAAAATTATTACTATGTTATCCTCTTTATGTCATCACTTTAGTCCTTCATATTAAAAAAAAATGGCAATAAGTTTGCATCTTTAAAAGAGTAATTTATTGAAAAAATAGTATGGTAATATTTTTTTGTGATAATTAATTTAGTGACAAAAACCCTTAAAATACTAATGTAGTGGCACCTTAATTTGAGATACTATAATTTTGAGATTGAAGCTTGAAGATAATGCAATTTTAACACGTACATACATATATAGTGTGCGAGATCAATTGATATTATTCCAAAACTTGACATAGTTACATCCCTTAATAATTTTAGGGATTAGTGTTTCTCATATTGTATGAGATAATTTTATTTCTTATATACACATAAAAATATGTGAGGTTCATTTTTTTTCTCTCTTCTCTTCACATGACTCTACATGAGTCTTACACACTCTTATGTGTGTGTAAGGAACAAATCTTTAGCAGTCCTGTAGTACCATACATACTTCTAAAATGAGTAAAATGTTAGGATTTAGATGGAAATAAAGATATAGGTGTTGGGTTTAAATGGGATAAAAATTTCCTTTTTTAAAAAAATGGGAGTACCAAATTCGGTACTCTTGTAGTACCAAAGAAAAATTCGTGTGTAGGAGATAGTTTGGAGATATCAAATTATCTCCTACAACATAAGAAACATTAATTGCATAATTTTATATACAATATATTTTGGAATTAATATTTCTCATGTTATAGGAGATAATTTTATTTTTTACACACACAGAAAGTGTGTGAGACCCATGTGAACCCATGTGAAGAGAAGAGAGATAAAAAAATATGGATCTCACATAGTTTTATATGTATGTATAAAATATAATTATCTCCTAAAACATAAAAAATATTAATTTCATATTTTTTTTTATCAATTCGACTGCTCAATTGCATCAAGTCAATACTCATACTCTGAAGGTTGTTAATGACGAGCTTCTCCCATAAGATCATGCGAGTGGAAACACATGAGAGCGTTAAAAATGGGTGCTGTGAATTATGAAATGCAACTCCCTAAGAAAGAGAAAGAAACATATACACATAATGAAATAAGAAGTTCTTTAGAAAATTATATCGGAAGTAAACAATTCAACCCAACACCCTAAGTGAAAGGTGAATAATGCATCATATTTATACTCGAAGGAAATATTTTATATTATATTTTTTTAATATATCTCCATATGCAAGAGTTTTTTAACTTGAAGTGTGAATATTATATATGTTTTTCTTTAACCTTATATTGACTTAATTCCATCACGGTGAGAATTGAACTTTTGATTTCTTAGTCACAGAGGCTTTAATAGCATAATAAACAATCATCCTACTTAAAAGCTCAAGCTAATAAATGAAGACCCATAAATGATTTTTTATATATTTCTTTTAACATTATATATCTATAAATTGTATTTATTTTATTGTATGTGCACACTAAAAATATGTAGGATCCTTATCCTGTGATTGAGAAAATTTAATAAATTTAATATGATCTATAACCATTGGATGATTGCGTGCTCCCTTTCACAAGCACCATAAAATATTCTAAAAGTTTTACGCACTTTATATATATCATAATAAGTGTATTAATATAATTACATATATTTTACTCACTTTTTTAATTAAATTAAATGTTTTACTCTTAATTAATATTTTTTATTAATTTTATAATTAATTTTGGCATTAAAACAGCATTTTTATTTTGCTACTTTGTAAAAAAGGAGACATATTAAAGAGAGCATATTTCATTTAACTAAAATACTGATAATGAGTTCAGATATACAAGTTCCTATTGGGTATTAGCGTAAGCATCAAAGTCAAGCAATAATAAAGAGTTACGAATTATTCATATTTACACTCAAATATTCAGCAGTCTCCTCAGCACAAAGAAATAGAAAAAGAAAAACACAAGATAGTGTTGGGTACGGCTGAGGCCCTTGTTAGTAATTTGGATTTAGACGTATGAATAATTATTAATAGGATTTTTTAAATTCTATTTATATTTATAAAATGAGTGACTTATAACGAGTGACAATAAGACGAATAAAGTAAAGACAAACTAGACATTGCTTATATTGAGTGAACTAGAATAAATCATTGTATTAAATCTCTCTTCTCTTTCTCTTTACTGTTTTCGAATTTACGTGTCTATTTCCAACCGACAGTAGTTTGGGAAATCAACAACACCATGTCTTCAAGCAGATATTAACAAATTTGAAATAGCGTTATAGCCATTACCAAAATTAGATTGGCAGACTAACTTGGAAATATACTAAAAATTTTCAAATAATTCAAAAAGAATATAACAACGAAAAGGGGGCATGGGAAGTCCAACAAATAGAAGAAACACTGGTAAGAGTAAGATTATCAATCTGAGCCACTACATATTACAAAATCTGATCCTAAATATGTTTCGTGTAAACTCTAGCATACAACAAAATCTGCTCATGTATATGAGGCTTCATACATATTAGTTTAATGAAGCAGCATGCAGGACAAACCAATTTTGTCCTCCAAGAATATTGAAGAAAGTGATGTTATTTAATAATGATTGTAAACAATTGTCATAAAAATCAATAGGGGACTTTATTCTTGTCATCAATGTCTCATCGCAAAACCACTCCAGTAATTGCCAATAGTCAGCCATGTCAATCAGACTATAATTATCAAATGAAGAAGCAAAGTTCTTCACTCCAAATCCAAGCTCTTTTTCATATTCTCATATACCATATAAGTGATACTAGCAGATGGAACAACTTTGAGTAGGTTAGGAAATAACCCTTTGTAGAATCCTCTAAAACCTTCATGTTCAAAGGTTCTCCTGAATACATCAGCCATTCCCTTATAAGCACGTTGAGCCTGCATTCTGAAATCAACAGCAATGTAACTTTTAAATTTCTATAAAAATGGAATGAACTTAATAGATGTTAAGCTATAATTTAGACATTACACTTCCAAAGCTTACCGTGTTCTAACAACCTGCAATGGGTAAACACAGGTTGCTCCAAGGGCTCCTGATACTGTCCCACATCCTAGTTGTACAAGAGGACCAGGTTCTACACATAACCTCATAATTTCAACACAAGACTAAAGCATATCTTGTACAGAACATAACATACAAAGAAGTTTATTACCTCCATCATGAAGAATATACTTCTTGGACATATCTTTCAAAGTTTCATATGCAGCAAGATCTATGCCCGCATATGGGATAATCCCCAGAACAGAAGGAACCAAACCCCTATAAAATGCGCGGGGTCCTTCATGAACCCATATATCTTTTGAGAGGGTTCTAAGACTAGGAACTCTTCCACCTTCACAAGAATAAGTTTGTATTCTCGTTTTAATAAGATCTAGAGGATATATTGCAGTTTGAGCTACAGCACCAGCTATACCACCAGCTAGAAGCCGTCCCATAGAGCCAACATCAGCCTTTGCTTCTTGTCCTCTTGCATTCACAATGAAGGTCTTCAGCATCTCATAGGTATAAAACTTAATAGCACTCTCAGGGGCCACCTTAAGAACATTTAAGCCATTGCCTCGAAAAAATCCTAAGAAACCACCTTCTTTCCATATATTTTTTATTGCAGGCATTACACGAGCTTGTGTTGTTTGGACTTGCAATACAACCTTTATACGATCAAGGGGTGCAGTTGTTGTACGCGATGCAGCACCTGCTACTCCTCCTGCAATCAGATACCTACTTGCATGGATGTGCTTACTAATGCCTGTTGGAATAACAGTCTGTTCCCCAATATCCACCAGGCATATCCGCTCCAAATAATGGTAAATGTTCTCTATAGTTGCCTCATGAGGGTAAAGCAGCAGAAAATCCCTCCATTCTCCAAATGTTATAACCCCATTGTTATCCTTATCAACACGTTCAACAAAACGGGCAAGTTCCTCATCATCAATCTGAATCCCTACAAAAGAGAAACTAGTGTGGCTTACAGAAAGAAACAACCACCAAAGTATATCACAAGATCAAGAAATACTTAATTACATAAACAAGATTATACTAAATAAATCAGAGACCCGCTATTCAGCTCTGACATTTTCAATCAAAACAGAAATAAAACTGCCGAGACTCTATAACTTTCCAATCAGACACTGAAGGCAGATGGAAATAAAAGGGATAGTACTCTGTAATTTGTCAATCAAACATCAAAGACAGATAGAGTTGGAAGTAAAGTTAGTCAGAGCAAATGATAATGTTATCAGTTTACTTTCAAATTAAACATCAGGTTATGCGATTGTAGTTGGTTATAACTAAGAATAATAGAACCTTAAAGCAGGCAAATCAGTTAGTCAATAAGGGATGCATAAGGGAAGGTTTCTTTAACAAGAGGTTTTCATTTTCCCTTTTCATTTCCCTTCAACTTTGCACATAGCAACTGGAGTCTTTACAGGAAAGCCAATATATATATATAAAATGCTTTCCAAGAGCAAATGCTTTGCCTACTGCAAATCAGAATTATTTCTCAAACACATTTCTTTTTTACCTCCAATTTAAAACTTTTTGAGGCTTGATATGACATCTGATGTCAGACAGCTACCCGAAGCGAAGAAAAACACACATTAAGTATGCACTATACCACTATTTTAACAAGTTGAGCATTTCAAACTATGGAAAACACAAATTTTCAGAGACTCAACTTAAAATCTTTTTGTAATAGCCTACCCAAATTTAGCATTACATATTATTCTTCCTCCAACCAACTTTTCAGAACAATTGAAAAAATCACTCCCCATTAAACCCCAATTAGCAAGGGTAGGATGAGGATAATCTATGTAAGCAGTGTTACCCTTACGTATTTTACAAAGAGGCAGTTACCCAGATTCGAACAAGGGACCTTTCAATTATAAATGATCAACTTTATCACCATTTCAGACTCGCCCTCTTTTTTAGAACAATTGAAACCAAGCAGAAAGAAAAAAGGCAACCTGCTATAAAGCAAGAGGTGATTACGCGAATCGAACCCGTGGCCTTGCGGAAACAGTAATAACAATGGTGAATGTATAAATAAAGAGTAAGAGTTGAGTGTTTACCTGCCCTTACAAGTGCCTCAAAGAGCTCCTCCGGCAAAATACACCCATTATGCTCAACATCAATAGCTTGAAATATGCGGTACAATTCAATCTCTTTACCATCCATGTACTTCTTGAACTCTTGATAATCAACCCTCCCATCCTTGTTTGAATCACAAGCATTCAACAAATCCTTTGCATACTTATACTCAGAGGGTATTTGAAGCGCAGAAAGACCAGCCTCAATCATAGCATAATCCAAGGAACCACAATTGTCCTTATCAAAGAAACCAAAAAGACCACGAATCCTCAACTCCCTCTCTTCCTTGCTCTCTTGTGAAGCCAGCAACACATGATCCATTGTCACTGGTCCAGGCTTCTTCACTGGGTTGCAACATTTTGATCTTAATTCCATGTCACTAATGTTCTTGCTCCTCTTTGGGTCCAACCCCATTCTTTAGATAACAAGCATAACACAACACAACAATGTTGGGGTAATGAAAAATTGAAAATTGATGCTTATTTGGTTATTTCGTGGATCAGATTCCAATTTTAAGCAAAGCAAACGCTAAATGTAGAGATAGGGGAAAATATAAATAAATAATTAAAATTAAAATTAAAATACCAATTTTTTTTTTCCTTTTGGGATGGAATAAAGGGGAGCAATAAGCATATTCTGGTTTTTGTGGCAAATGAGTAAAGGGGAATCGACGAAACGCGAAAACGGGTATTGAAGTGGGAAAGTGGGAATAGTGTGAAGCAGAGAGAGTGAGGAGCTTGTGGGAGAGATTTGAGAGAGGTGAGGGAATTGGGTTTCCACGAGGATGGTTGTTCCGCCGCCGGTGAGAATAAGTGTGTCGTTATTGCCGGCGGCGATGTGGGGGATCGCCGGCGATATCTGGTGCCTCGAAGAACGCGACCTTTATCATTGGAAAAAACAGCTTTTTTGTTTGCGGCGAATAATTATTAATTAAAATGAAATATCAATTATAATAATAGTGGATTCTCCCGTGTGGTATGCGCGTGCAGAGAAGATATTAGTCAATAAAATTTTAATCAACAGTTATCATATTTCATCCTTTGTTTTAATTCCTAGGGAGGTCATGGTTACAATGACCTTTTATTTTAATTCCGTGGGAGGTAATGGTTACTATGCACTGTTATTAAATTCGATTCTGGGATCGATCTGGTTGGACTATTAGATTATTGAGTCACTAGTTAGATCGATGGATTATTGATTGGATTGATTGATTCAGATATATAAAAATATATATAAATATAAATATATAAATTTAATTATATTTTTCATATCTAAAATGAGTTGAACAAGATTTACTAAACAAGCTCAAAAATTATCCAATTACACTTTTATAAATTAATAAAATACAAATAAATGAAAATGTACGATATTATTATATCAATTTAAATTGCAACTCAGAATCTCATAAACATACCTCTCAAATATATTCAAAAGGCCAAATGTTATGAATTCATATTTTTCAAATTCACTTATATTGAAATGACATATGTTATATTCTTTTAATTTATTGTTTCACATATTGCTTCAATATTGGAAGCTGAAATTTAAAATCATTGTAGAAGAATATATTACTAACAAATAAAATTACAAAAAAATTTAAAATGAGTTCTACATTTTTTTTGACAAGATGAAATAATTTTGGCTTTTGGGTTAATTTTTTATAAAAATGCATGACTCGACCAGGTTTGGTCGGGTTTTGATCGGGTCCAATGCAGGGCGGTCCGATGACCGAATCGCCGGGTTCCGAGTCGACCCGGATGGATCGGGCCAGGTTTCACAACACTGTTTTCCAATGACCTTTTATTTTAAAAGAAATTTTTTAATGTGGTTACAATTTATTTTGAGGGAGGCTATAATTTTCCTACGTTAATATAAAAGTTAAATAATTTATCATAATAATATGGTAAAATTGAGCTTGGATTGTGTCCATTTAAGTCAAACATCACCCCATACATAATTTGTATAAAAAATAACATGCATCTATCACGTGTCGCATTAGCAAGACACACATGAGCGTGACTTAAATGCAAATGGGATGGTGCGTGTCTTGCGTGACATGTGGCAGACACATTGACTTTGCACGAGTCGAATATAAGGTGATGCGCCACTTAATGCGCACCGCGTTATTTTAACAAATTATTTGGCTTTTCAATCAATAAAGGAAAATATTTTCCTTTTAACATTAAATAGGTCAAACAAATCATTATAATAATTTTTTCTTATAATAATTTTCGCAATTGTTGGATAAAAATTAAATCAATGATTTACAATTAATGTCATTTTATAACTATTGATTTGATTCTGATCCAATAATAACGAAATCATGATAAAAAATTGTAAGGAAAAAAATTATAAATATAAATAACCTCATTTTATTATATTTTTAATATCATTTATTTATATTTAAATAATTAAAATTCTCTCGCACAAACTCATAATAGAGAATCGATTTTGTTCCCTGCACTATTTAATATTATTTATTTGCATGACAACCATTATATTCTCTAGCGTTGTTTCTGAAAAGAAATAATTTTTTTCTATTTATGTGCCTTGGAATAATTTCTGAGAAAAAAATTGTGTTTAACAACATGTTCTATTTTTATTTCGAGAATGAGAATTGCGATTGATAACAGAACAAATAATAGAATAAAAAATATTCCTATTAAGCATGAAAAATTTTCGGATTATCACTTTTCTTTTCATATGGTGTGGTGGCGTGGTGGTGGTAATAGTGATGATGATGGTGGTGGTGACGATAGTGGTGGCGACAGAGGTGGTAGTGGTGACGGTCGTGGCGTGGTAATTATAACACCTCGTATATTTAAAATACATATTAATAATTAAATTGAGGATTAAAGAGGGTATTTAGTGAAAATTCTAACTTTTTGGTCAAAATACGTAAGAAGGGTAAAACGGTAAGTTAACAAATGTGTAACCCTAAATTGTAAAATGATGAAATTAGGCCTCAAATAATAAAAATAATACTAGAAATGGATTCAGAATGAAAAATTGAGTGGTTAGGCAAGTTTCTAGAAAATTGATGAATAGTATTTTTTTTTTTTTTTGATAACATGATGAATAGTATTTTAACGGATGAAATATTACAATGCAGTTGCACCGAAAAACGTATAAAGCGAAATTAGTGCTCTAGGATTGAATATATGTTGGAAAAGGTACTTAGAACCAAGAAATATGATTATTGGTACAATTTGGTGGATTTTAGGATTTATTGGGAACGTGCCAACGATGCACAAATTGAGGTAAAACAGTAATTTCACCAAATTACGGAAAACTCTGGATTCATCTATTCAAGGGTAATTAAAGGACTTTGGTGAATGTTAATTATTTTGTAATGGATAGTTCATGAATTAATTAGAGATTAGTGTGTTAAGTGGATTATTTGAACTAGTTTGAATTAACTGAGGTGGTAGGTGGGACTCATCCCACTTAAACTAACATAAGAGCACATGTTCCCTACTATTCATCATCTTCTTCTCTCCCTTCCGATCCTTGCCTCCAAACCCGCGGCCACACCAAGAACATAGGGCAAGATTTTTCCTTTCAATTCCTCCACCAAAATACTTCATATCCTATATGACAACTTAAGTAAGCAACCTAGTGAATCAAACCCACATCTCCATTCATCTTGAAAACCCTTATATTTTGAGATAATCCCCCTTGAAGCTTGCGAAAATTTGATGGAGATGGAGCCAATGGTGCTTGTTGCTTGAGTGGTTGCTTGAAGAACATTTATAGGAGTCTTAAGCATTGGTTTGTGGTAAGTTTCTACACTTTTTATTGAATTTTCATTAAAATCAAAATTTGAAGACCTAAGCTTATGTGTTGGTGAGTTTGGGTGGTTGAAGGCCTTAAAATGATTTTGTGTATTTGATAAATGTTGCTTAGAATGATGATTTGTGATGATTGAACTCATACAAATTCTTGTGAAAAAGTTTGTGTAACTTAGAAAAATTTCATGGATGAACATGGTTATTGAGAAAATGAGTTGTTGGAGAATTATTTAACTGAGTTGTGGGTGATTTGAATCATTGATAATTAGATTGTATGAGAGTGTAATGCATATGGATTGAGAGAAAAATCCCGTGTTCCCTTTATGACATAGGTTCGGCCATATAGGTGGATTTAGGGAAAAATTATGCAAGTTGGTGTTTGGCTTGATGAATTGATGTGGTAGGTGTTTGAATCAACTAATGTGAACCTAAGAATGTACCTTGAACCTTGAAAATGCAAGAAAAATCCCTAGCCACTTGGATGACTCACATTCGGCCATATAGGGTATCTATGGGGAAAATTATGCTAAGTTAGGATTTGATGTAATTGTGGGTTGATATAGTGTTGTAGGTGGCTAAGGAAACTATAAGGATGGTTGAATAAAATTAACAACAAGATTATGTAATAATGGCCTTAATGGCCGAAGCATTAATGAATATGGGGGGGAGTTGTGTTGTCTTGAATTATGACTTGTTGGACAAATTGATTGATGATCATATGTGTGTGATTATTGTAGATTTCCTCCCTCGGACACAATCATATAAGGTTGAAGCTTGGAGCATGTGGATTGCCTTTGGTCTTTGACCAAAAGGATTTTGGTTAGCAATTACTAACTTGGTTGTATGATTGGTTGGATAATTAATTTAGTTATCATGTGGCACTTGGTAATTGTTGAAATGACCAATTGTTGTAGGCATTTCTTGTGCAAGTTGAAGCTTGAGGTAACTTGTGGTTGAAGCTACCGATCTTGAGAGCTTCAAACAGGCAATCCCTTGGTATTGGGTTAATCCTCATGTGTGCTCCACCATACCGAGTGGGGTAGTGGTTAGATTTGTTAGATGCAATAGTATGGGTTATAACATGATCATGCATGTGTATATTATTTGGTATATATATATTTATATATGTGTGTGTGTGTGTGTGTTTATACTGTATCTCTGCCAGTAGATAGATTGTCGTATTTGTCGTAGGGAACTTTCACTGCAGAGGCCTCTGTAGGGAGTTTCAGTTGGGCGATGGCCATAGAGTTGTTATCCATTGAGGATCACTTTAGGAATATCTCGGGAGTTATAGTTGTTAGTGCCTTGAATTATATCCCGGGGATATATTCTTGGATATGGACCTGTTTAAGATTTTCATTTGCCGTATGTCGTAGGCCATCGTGCCGTGTTGTTTTATCTACTTATAATTGTATTATTGTCATTGTACATCTGAGTGAGCCATTGGATGGAGTGATCCTCCAGAACTTTTGGGTTACTAAGATATATTCGTATATCTCATCCCGCATTATGGGGCTATGTTTTAGGTTCATGTAGCGGTGTAGGAGTGTTGGGAAAAGGCCCACTAGATGAGGTGGAGTAGAGCATTTTGGAGTGCATCATGATAGTTTACATATTTGCATTTTGGTATTTTATTTGGCATGCTAGACTTAGTGCATGAACATGCAGTATTGCATGAGTGATGTATATCATGCCTAGTGTTTGTTTATGTAGCATTTTGGAGCTAAGTCTAGTGGTTATGTAATTCTTATTATTTTGAGCATTATGATGTAGTAGTTATGTTGGTTAGAGGATGTAAATGTAATTGTTGTATTAAGGATCTTATGTAATTATTTATAAATGTATGTGATGGAAGGGCAATAGACTATTTTAGGATATGACGTTGTTTAATTATGGGGGTACAGGGGAGGAGCCTTGTACTGTGGGTTGCAGATGTGCATAATCCCTACCTTTATTCTCTGGCCAGTAGGATGCATACACACATGACATGGGCATATGCGGCAATGCACACTCATTTGATATATTGCATGGCATGCTCAATTTATATACTGCATTGTTTACTGCTATAAATGACCCGGTATAGCCATTTTCCTTATCTTGTTGTTAATCTGC